ACCCCCCCGAAAATGGTGCGTAAATTGCGTTTCAATTGGCATCATGTACATGACCGGCATTTGTATGGGGGATTCGTGTCCTCTTGTGGTGGTATTATCGCTTTTTTCAATGAAGGTTGAAGCAATGGTTGATGAGGCGGCGGGCCCGGGAATCCAACTCCTTAGACAAAAAAATTTCAATGTGCAGCAAAATGTTTTTTGCCGACCAGTACACAAGACTGTAATAGTCAAACTTAATAGATTAATAGACAACTAATTGAAGAATGTTTTCATCATCGGATAATCATTTAGAGCTCTTATTTAACTGACAATTGTCAAAACCCTCTGAAATCAGTCTCTCAACAGTATTTCTTCTTGATTTTTGTAGTTCTTTATGAAAGCAGACTGAGCATCTTTTGTGTTGAATCAAAACAAGGCATCTGCAAAAATCTGCTTTTACCGTATTTCCCGCACTGTAAGGCGTACCTAAAAGCATTCCTTTTTCTCAAAAGTTGACAGTGCGTCTTATTATCCGATGCGCCTTATATATGGATCAAAATTATGATTTCTTGGGTATAGTATTTTAAATATTCTGTAAAACGTTTTGTTACAGCTGCAGCGGTTGTGAAAGCTCTATATAAATAAAACTATTGTATTCCCTTGAGCGTAGCTCCACCTAGTGGACATATAACGCAACCTCAACCACTAGCTTCTCTTCTATGCGCCTTATAATGCGGTGCGCCCAAAAAAATGAAAGCAGTTTTAAAATAGGCCATTCATTGAAGGTGCACCTTATACTGTGAAGCACCTTATAGTGCGGAAAATACGGTATTTGAAGATTCTAAATTGTCCAGCCACTAGTGTAGCTTTTCTTCTATGCGCCTTGTAATGCTGCTCGGTGATGAAGGGAACTTATCACTCTGGAATTATCATCACCATGATCATCAACCCATACTGCAGGGCCCGAACAATAAAAGAAGAACAGCTAAAATTGCAGTGCAGTTTACAAAAGCCCAACCACACGGCTTATTGAAAGCAGATGCTAGCCCCATGTGCACGCTGCATTTAAACCAATTACAAGTGCTGGGGTCACGCTTGTGTCTGCCACCAAGACCTGAGATCTGGACTCCGTCTGCACTGTGTCAATGTGGAGAGTGGGAGGGAGGCAGGTCAGGTGGTCGAGAGCGTCTTTGGAGTTGGAGGGGGAGGGGGGGGGGTTAGTGGAGTCATAAATCAGTCTCATGGAGGGAGCTGACAGGAGGAGTAATACAGAGAAAGAACCCAC